ACTTCCCATAACATGAAAAAACCCAACAGCTCAATACATAAATATAGATTGTTACTGTGTTGAAATCTCAAGAGCAATAAAATAAGGGAGTAAAACTTTTGTTTATGGATCTAGTATCACATTACCATGTAAGTACCTCTTTATTTTTGTCTTCTACTAAAATACAAATGCAACAAATGAAAATATGTCTTTATCAGGGAATGCCTGCGATTCCAGATTGCAAATTAAGCATTTAAATGTTGAATAATATAATCACCATGTTATAGATGTTAATTAAAGTGCTTAGTGAACAAAGATAAATTTAGCAATTTTTACACATAAATTTTGGAGGATGAGTAACTATTGTTTTATAGCAATTATAGTTTAATAGGCTTCCATTTATATTTTATTTATTCAATTTTTAGATTCATAAGTGGCAGAAGTATAAATACATATAGATAAATACATTTGTACATATATATATATACACACAAAGATTTCTCAATCCATTCCTTTGTTTTTTTAATAATTAATTCTATAGTGTTTCCTTTAACTTACTGTATAAATGAATTTCTATAATGAATTTGGAAAGAAATTCGTCTGTGTGTGTCCTATGGGAAGAAACCAAGGAAATCTTAAGCTAGCCCCTTGTGGATGAGAAATGACACTCTGTCAGATCATACATCACCTGACTAGTAAGATAGATACTTGTTTTAAGATGGGTGACTGTGAAAGCTGCAAAACATTCCATTACACATTCATATACACTTTTTTTAAAATTAAAGTTTATTAAAGTTACGATTGTTAGTAAAGTTACATAGGTTTCAAGTGTACATACAATTCTCTAATACATCATCTATATATCACATTGTGTGTCCACCAACTAGAGTCAGTTCTTCTTCCATCACCATATATTTGATCCTTTTTACCCTCATCTACCACCTTCGTTCCCCCTTACTTTCTAATGGTGCTGGGAGAATTGGAAAGCCACATGCAAAAGAATGAAACTAGACTGCTATCTGTCACCATGTATGAAAATTAACTCAAAATGGTTCAAAGACCTAAACATTAGACCTGAAACAATAAACTGCATAGAAGAAAACATAGGTGCTAAACTCAAAGACCTTGATTCAAAGAGGATTTTATTAATTTGACTTCAAAGGCAAGGAAAGTAAAAGCTGAAATAAATGAATGGGACTTTATCAAACTAAAAAGCTTCTGCACAGCAAAAGAAACCATCAACAAAATAAAGAGGCAGCCAACAGAATGGGAGAAGATTTTTGCAAATAAGGCCTCTGATAAAGGGCTAATATCCAAAATCTATAAGGAACTTATACAACTCAACAACAACCAAAAAAACAATTCATATACACACTTTTATTAAAAATGTGTCCAGGTGTAACACATCTAAGGACTTTCGGACATATTTTTTATTAACTCAGTAAAATACTTTCAAAAGATTTAAAAATAATTCTAACTTCAATGTATATTTTGAATTATTTTTAAAGTTATCATTTTTGTGTTATACAAAAGATGTTCAATGTGACTTGTGTGAATGAAATTCAGCCCAAATTATTGCTATGTGACTTCAGGCTATTTACTTGGTTTTCCCAACTTTAATACTATACATTATACTTGTTTTGCTTATTTTCTGTCCTATCCCTTAGATTGTAAGCTGAATTTTTAAATTTTATTTTATGGTTTTATTCATTTCTGAATCCACAGCATTTAGGACAATGCCTGGTGCTTCATGGATGCGTAGTACATGAGTGCTAACTATGTGAATGAATGGATTTTCTTTCTACAGTTAAGTTGCATGATAAAAGTAAATAATAAACAGTAGTCATGTAATAAATTTTGGGTTGGTTCAGTTCCCCTTTTCTCTCCCTTCTATCTACTCTAGCATACTAGAAACCTTGGAGTCATCTTTAACTATTTTATTTTCCTTTATCACATGGGATTAGATCATCATTTTCAAAATCTTGGCTCCTCAAAGTGTTTTCCATAGACTAGCAACATAGGTGTTACCTAGGAGATTGTTAGAAAGTCGGGATCCTGGGCCTCAGCCAGAACTACTGAAGAAGAATTTGTGTTTTAAGACAATTCTCAGACAATTCATGCACAAAATAAAGTTTGAGAAGCACTGATTTAAGTCACTGTGTTTCTCCTTCCATGTATCCTAGATTTTTCACCTCTCTCTAATCACCGTAAGAGAGAAAATACCTTCCAGGTTAGTCCACTTGCCTTTAAACTACACAGCATACCACAAACAGATTCAACTTTTTAAACAAAGATTTGGTCACATTATGCCTCTGCTTAAGGACCTACAACTCCTCCTTTTACCTAGTTTCAGGAAGCCCCAATAATTCTTCATTCTAGAATTTAAGAATTCTAGAATTCTGACTGCACCCTCCCAACCCCGAATTCCTTCACCACTCAGATCCTTTTCCTTTCTGCCTGGCCTGTTAATTTGCACACATCTGCTTCACTCTTCTCTCTTCCTCTCTGCATTTAGCTGTCTCTGCTTCTCTGGTCCGCATGGAAGGAAGATCACACTCACAGTAGGCTCTGGCTTTGAGCCTATATATTTCAGGATTCCAAGAAATGGAGTCAGGCTCCTCTCACCCTGATCTCAAATTCCTGATTTGTTCCGCCTAGACCTATCCGGTCAACCAGTGACGGAAAAGGAGATCACTGTTGCCCGGGCTTCAATGTTTGGTAATAAACAGTTAATAGTGGGGAGAGGGGAGTCATAACTTAGGAAATTATTTCCAAGTGTATAAAATAGTATCTTAGCCCATGTCTATTTAGGTAAAAAGAGAATGAAGCTTTTTCACCCCCAGCAAATATAGACAGTATTATTAATTCAACAGTCTAACTTTCTCTTTTTTCAAAATCTTCAATTGTAGCTTTTCGTTAGTCATCCGATCAATAAGATAGATGTTTCACTCTGCTTCATCATGGCCACAGCAAAAGAGATTTCCAGGAGTTGTCTTGCAACCCTGTTTTTATTTAGGAAAGGCTGCTCTCTAGGAATGAAAGTCCTTTCAGCTCCAGTTAAGAATCTATCATACAATTGCAATAACCCTAAATACACACTTCTACTCCTGGAAGAAATAGTTTGGTTTGTGAAAAATGCTGCAGGGGGATTTTTATGATGATTAGAACTTTGAAATAAGTGAGTTCTGTTCTTTCTGACCCTTACACATACACAGACAGAGGTCATTGAATCTATGTGAAAAAAACCAAAACGAAACAAAAGAAGAATAGCAGCAAATCTTAAAATGCGTTGTTCCCCAGTAATTAAAAAATATAATTATGATTTGAAACTATGATCAAAAGAAATAATATTTTGGGATGATGAAAATGTACTAAAATTGAATGGTTACAAGAACTCTGTAAATATACCAAACAAAAAGAAACAAACAAACAAAAAACCTGACATGTATTCTTTAAATTGGTGAACTTTATGGTATGAAATTGTACCTCAATAAAACTATTTTAAAAAGAAATTAATAGGATTAAAAACCAGATTTAAGGAAATCTAAAAAGCACAAGATCCAATGTTGTTTGGATCAATATTTGGACATTAAAATGCCACTTAGTATGTGCAACTCATCATTTTGATAATGTTATGGAATTATAAGCAAAATTGTTGAGTTGTTTTTAGTTTATTGAATATTTGAGTAGGTGAATTATTAAGTAAAGGCTAGTGATATAAGAAAATTATTGCTATGCCATTGTAATGGATGGTATAATTGAAACAATTCATTTGTAGCAAATGACAAGTAGTTCTCATTAAACTAAAATGTGAATGCAGCCAACACCAAGGTTGAGGAGCAGTAGGCTCTTACCATTTGGATATTCACTTGAAGGTTGACTATCAGGGAACATCGAGTTAATTATAAAAACAAGCTCTCAAAGAAGAATCATATATAGGGTGTTTTGTGTGTGTATGAATCATCTGGAATGACTAGTGACCTTGAATTTGGTTGACTGATTATTCAATTCTTCATTTCACTTTTCTCACACAGTCTCAGTTTGGTTTCTGCAATCAGTGCTCATAGACTAAGCATAAAAACACCTTAACATTGTCACTTGCTTAATGCTTCAGTGAAGCTCTTGCAAAACTGTTACACTGGGTGTCTCTCTGCATCATTAAACAAATCATACAACCTCTAATTCCAGTTATCAGTTAGGCAAATGAAAAATCTTGCAAACAAATGTAAAATTTTAAAAATGTCACTCACTGTCCTGCAAAATGCCTTCTAGGCATTGTCTGCCGCCATACAGTTGTGTCTTGTTCTTATGCCATGCTCTTCAACTCTGTAAAACTGATATTCTGTTTTCTCATTGTTCATTAGAGATAATCCTGGGTTTAATCATTTCCTGTGCCTTCTGATAGCATAGCCCTTAATTGTTACTCACTGCTGCTTTCTCAACAGTTTCCTCTACATTTTTCTTCCTTCTTCCATCATTTGTAAAGCAAGCCAAATTTACTTATATGCCACAGCCTACATTTCTTATATGTCTACTTACCAGTAATTTCTATGGCTCGTACTATCTGTCTTTGTGTGTTCCTTCAATGGCCGACTCTCTATTCTCACTGACTACCGGAGCAAAATTCATTCTGCGATCAGGAGAAAATGTGATGCCTGTAAAAATGTATTCAAGTACTGTATATATTGAGGTTTTTATTGTAGTTTTATTTATTTATTTACTTATTTTACGTAATCACCATTATGTGAATAATAGCGTATAAAAAAAATTTTTTTTTAAAGATTTTTTTGGGGAATTGGGGGAGGAGAACTGCGTTGGGGAATCGGGGAAGGGGAACAGACAGGTAGACAAATTGCTGGTTTTTTTTTTTTTTACATAATCACCATTATGTGAATAATATCCTCTAAAACTCTTATAAATGAAACTATGATAGCTTTATTTTCATTTTCAATTTTACCTCAGAGCCTGTGGCTCACGAGCCGCAGTTTGCTGACCCCTGGCGGTTCTTCCGTCTCAAAAGTATGCCGCCCCCTGGTCTGGTTGAATCTGCGTCTGTGTACCGTCTTGGTGACGCCTTGGGTCCCCGCCCTCTGTACAGCTGGAGCTACATCATCCCAGACCCTCTTGACCGCTGGGCTGCTCCTCCCACCCCACAGGCTGTGGAAGCCTTTTTGCAGTGGTGGATGGCCCACAGCAGCCCGGGAAATATTTGCTGGTGGGCAGTAACCCAAGATCTGCACTGCAGTGTCTCTTGGGCGGCTATTGGGAATCTGTGGGCCTGAGGTGGGCGGTGGCTGGCCATGGCGTTCTTGGAGTGTTTTGCAGGGTGGTCATGGGCCCAGCACCAGTTAGCAAACCGAGACTACATTGACTTTGTAGAAACCACCAACCACATCACTTAGACCCCTGGAATCCCACTCCGCCTACCTAGAGCTGCATGACCAGGGGTACACGAGGCCCCTGGGTGGCCAGCCCTGGATCACAAGCCATGGAGGCCTTTTGCAGCAGCAGATGGCTTTTGGTGGTAGACAGTGATTTTGGTGGTAGACAGTGACCCAAAACCTGTGACACAGCCTCTCTTGGGCAGCTCTCAGGGCTTTGCGAGCCAGAGGCAAACAGTAGCTGATTGCAGTGTTCGAAGGGCATTTCGTGAAGATGTCACACTCCAGGCACTGCCCCAAGATGAGCAGTTGGCTGCCTGTGGTGTTCTTGGGGCTTTGTGCTTAGTAGTCATAGGCCAGGCAGTAGCGTAAGAACTGACTCTGCATTAACTTTGTAAAATCCACAGGCCATGTCTCGTGACTCCCTGGGACTCCGCACCACCCAGCTAGAGCTGCATAGCTAAGGGTCTCAACATCAGGCCAGGTAACTCAGCTGATGCACCTAAGGAGGCTTTTTCAATGGCTGAGCCTAATGGGCAGCTGGCAGGTGACAGTAGGCTTAAGGGACCTAGGCATTTTGCTAAGCTTCCTCAGGCCACTATTGGTGGCAGCAGGCCTCTGTTCATGGCGAGGCCACCCCCACATGCCTCCAGGTCCAGCACAAGCAGCAGCCAACCACATACAGCTTGCGGCTCCTACTAGGTGGCTGCGGGCTGATAACAGACAAGGCTCTATAGTTTTATTTTTAATTGTTCAAAACAAGAACAAAAACAAAGACCCCTGTAAAGCAGATAAATAAATTGTGTTATATTCGTATAATAGAATATTATACAGTAATGAAAAGAGTATATGACTTTCACACACAAAATCATTAAATTGAAAGACATATTATATTAAATGAAAGAATGATTACATTTATATGAAGTTTTATAAGAGGCAACACTAGTCTATGAATAGAATAGTAAAATACGCGTATTCTTTTTCCATAGGGTGAGAATGGTGAACAGACATGATGGAAGTTTCTGGGTTGCTGTTGATATTCTATGTCTTAATCTGGGTGGTGATTTCATAGGTATATTCACTTTGTAAAATTCATTGAGCTATACTCTTTACTTAATATTTGTCACTTTGTGCTATATATTTTTTTCAGTTTTCCTTTTTTACTTATTTCATACAAACAGTAATGTTGTTTTACATCCGTCAAGGTGAGTCACAGAGCTGTGGTTTCAGATAGGTTTTTAGTATTGAATTTCTTTTCTTTTTACCTTTTACCCCCTTCACTCATTTCTCCTATCCCCCAACCCCTGCCTCTGGCAACCACCAGTCTGTTTTCTGTATCTATTAGCTTGATTTGTTTATTCATTATTTATTTTAGATTCATATAAGAAAGATCATAAGGTATTTGTCTATGTGTCTAGGACAGTGCTTAAGGTTCAAAAGTAATTGCATAATTCCTCTCCTCAAGAAGCCCACAGCTTAATTGGAGGAGACAGATATAGTTAGATAATATGAAAATATGTGCAAGCCATATGGGAACTCAAAAACAGAGAAATAGCCTTGCTTATCCTCAAGTAGGGATGAGAGTAAAGGTCAGGAGAGATACTTGGAAGGTTCTAATGCCTGAGTTGAGCCTTTCCCCATAACATTTTATTATGAAAATTTTCAAAAGATAGTAAAAATTTTAGCAAAGTTAAAAGAAATAGTCTACCATTATAATTTCACTATATTTTATCACATTTATCCATCTATATATCTGTTTGTCAATTCATGTTCTTTTTGATGAGTCTCAAAGTAAATTTCATCAGTATATTTTTCCTAAATGTTTAAGCATGCATAGCATTAGCTAGATCTCAATATTTGTGTCCAGCGTTTTTCTTTTAATGTAAAATATATATACAATAAAAACACAAACTGAAACATTTTATGAGTTTTGGTAAATGCTGAGTTTTGACAATTATGTAACAAAACCCCTATGAAGATATAAACATTACCATGACTTCAGAAAGATGCCTTGTGTCACTTCCATCTATCCATCACCTGTATTTACCAACCCCAGAGGCAGCCACTATTAATGATTATCTCCACCAAAGATTACTTTTGCCTATTTTAGAAGTTTGTACAAATGAAACCATACAATATGTTCTCTTTTGTGAAGGATAAATTGGATCTTAAAAGATCAAAAAGGGCAAGTGAGGGAACTGTGAGGAAGGACAGGGAAAGTTTAATCACATTATGCTACTCATCACAGCCAATTTAGGACCCTTTGGTTGATTTCACGGACTCTAGATTCTGCTTTCCTGTAAAATCTTGACTTTGACCCCTACCCAGATATGAAGAATCAGTCAGAATCTTTTGACTTGTGATTTTTAATTTTTCCCTCACCTGACTCACACCAACCTGTGGCAACTAGAGTTTTGATGTGACAATCTAGAATCATATTGTTTTAGTGTAACTCTTTTAAAATGCCAGTTAATGTAGGTATTGATACTGTATTCCAGACTGGGAGTCTCAAATTCATCTTGGTTCAGCAACCTACCAGTAACACTACTCTCATCATGGCTCCTGGCTCTCAATTCCGTGATTTTCTACATCCTCCTATGCCTCTAGGTATGAAAGCATGACCAAATACTTCTTGCTTTTAAGCACTGCTGGTAAAAAAAAAAAAAAAGTATAAAGTCCCAAACAATGGAAAACTTACCACATGAGAAAATTCCTTAACTAGCTAACAGAGCTTAGCATTCATTGCTATCCAAAGCAACTAATCAGACATTTTATCCTTTGAACAAGCAAGTGATAAAGAGAGTCAAAGGAGCCGGCCGAGTGGCTCAGTTGGTTAAGAGCTTGCTCAAGAGTGTGAGCTCTGAGCAACAGGGTAACCGGTTCAATTCCCAGCCCGAGCTGAGCTGCCAACAGGTGGCAGGATGACTCAGCTAAAAAAAAAAAAAGAGAGAGAGTCAAAATACTACTTCCAAGAACTATATCAGAATTAAAGTGACTATCTCCCTCAAATTTGGAATAAATGGTTACTTTACTGTAGTACAAATATATAACAATGTTCTAAGTAATAGTAAAACAAGTTTTAACTCAATTGTATGAATTTTAAAGGTAAATTTGGGGGCACAAAAATCACATAGATGCAGTTTTTTAGGCATGTAAGCAACCTCTTATTTGTCCCCATTATCATTGTTTGAAAATGTATTGTCTGTCCTTAGGGAAAATTTTACTAATGATCATAATATTTAACAGCCTTCGAAAGTATGAGCATGATAGCCAGGTAATTTGGGAGAATTCTCCTTTTTATTCAGGGAACTATTCTAGGCCTCTGATGTGAGGGCAAGATTCCCTTCACCCTCTGATGGCCCATCTTTTACAATACAGCCCAGCAGCCAAGGTTGTCTAGACAGACCTACTCTATCCCTGTGAAGAGGGACATGCCCATGTCTGCAGGAATCGCTGTAAGAATAACAATCATCAAAGAAATCCAGCTGTATTTCTGCTGTCACTAGCTGTGTGACATTGGATGACCCAATATATTTTTTTGGGCCTGTGGCTTCTTGCTTTTAAAATGGAGAACAATGTGGTTCTACCATAAATAAAAATTTCACTTAGAAAAGGTACATAAAAACAAAAGTTTTTTTTTTTTTAAATTTTATTGGGAAATTGGGAGAATGGGAACAGAGCTGGGGAATTGGGGGAAGGGGAATAGACAAGTTGTCTGTCATTTTGTTCTTCAGTCTAGTTGTGGAGGACGTTGCTTCACTGGCCCATTGGCACCATCATTGCGCTCTTCCCAGGCGAAGCAGATCAGTCACCAGCTTCTGGATGGCCGCTCACTGCGACTGCTGGCTTCTCACGCTGGCTGCTGTTTACACATGGTAGCCCATGGCAACCCACTGCAGCAGGGGCTACAGCCTACACCATTGCTGGTGACTCAGGGCAGTCCAGCTCCAGGTTGAGCTGTTGTTCAGCATCTTAGCTGCAGAGGGCAGTGTCACTGGCCCTCATATGTAGGATCCGAACCGGGGCCTTCCGGCATCCCAAGCCAGTTCTTAACCATCGCGCCACTCGGCCGGCCCACAAAAGTTATTTTCAAATGTACTTTTACCATCCTTGTTTCGTATAGGTTCTCTGGACACACAAGTTCACATCATTTTGTGCTCCTGGGTCTGTTGAAGATTTAATGTGTACTGATCACAAGGGAATTTTCCAGAGTCTTTGTGATTGTAAGGGTTAGAGTTTCCTTTAATAAGTTTTTAAATTTTAATTCAATTATCTATTAACTTGATTCTGCATTATGTGCTTCCTATAGTTTCTACAGAATTTAGTTTGTATAGACTAGGTGACTAAGAAATAAGAAAGAAATGAATGACTGAATACAAAACATTATATCCTAATTGTCAAGAAATGGGCACTGCAGGTGAAAGCACTTGTGCCCCACAGTCATGCTCTCTGTGCACTCGCACCCCACACTTCTGTTCTCTATGACCAGGCTCTACCTGCCCATACAGCACTCCTTCCTCAAGGAAAAGCATTTGTATCAGTGTAGTTTCTCATTTATCTATAGCAAAAGTTATAACAAATTGAACTGTTATTTTAATTGGATTGTTACCAACAAATGGATTATTATTATTATTAAATATTATTTATTAAATATAATTACATGTGAATTATGTCTTAGTGAAAGTACTTATAGATTTACACTGGAAACTCAGCAACCACTCTGATGATATAAATGTAGATGATATTAACCACAAAATGAAACATTAGAATTATCTAGATTAAGCCATCAGACAGTGGTTACACTAGTACATTTAGTGTATATTTGTCAGAAAAG